TATTAATACATAACGTTTCTTATTCTGACCACATAATTCCAGAACACACATTCAGAAAGCTTTGGGAATATAACACACTAAGGCCAGTTTCTTTGTGATTTAACCTGTCTCTGTTTAGGACAGGCTGTTAAGAATGGTTTATACAACAAATTAGTAAAGTCTTCACTTATGAAATCACAAAACTTTTAATGTTATTGAATTTTGAAATGAAAGTCTATTGTATTCATGGGAAAGGTCAGCAAAATCTACATGTAGTATAGCTTTGCTTTACTAAAAAAAAGCATGGACATTTAAAATACCTCAACTCATAGCAGGAACTCATCAACTATGGATTAACAAATAGGATTATATAATTCTTAGAGGTATGAATATGTTGTCAGTCCTTAAGTAACAGGAGGGCAAACTGAAGAGCTTGGTAACTATGAAAATACTGGTCATCACATAATATCTGGGAAGAACGTAAGTATTCTATCACTGAGCCCCCATTGTCCCCTTTAAGGTCCTCAAAAACAGAACATGATGCCTAGTCAAAGCTTTATCCTCAGTGCCTAGAATAGTATCTTGTTCTCAAAACGTATTTGATGAACAAATGAAATACTTTGAGGATGCTCTCTTTTGTATAAATTTATTTACTTGTATATTACATTTTCTTAGTTTCTATTGAAACAAATCATCGCTTGCCTGCAGTCCCACCTGCCAGTCCTTGTTCTACAAAAGCCAGGATGTTAAGGCTATAAAGAGCAAATAATTTGACTTTACTAGAACATAAAGGTACTTCATTCTTTATTACGTAAAATGTTGATACCAAGAGTAGGAGTGGGTGTCATTCCAGGTTTCCCCACCCCCCAATAGACTTACTTTCTATTTCTGTATTTCTTTCACTAATTTGGCCGACTTCCTTGGCTTACCTGATTACATACCTTCGGTTAGCAGCTGAGCTCTTAACCACTGCGCCACCAGGGCTCCATGTATCTTGTAACATGGATAAATTCCAAGGTAAAAGTAGATAATTACAAACATCTGAATGGTGCTAATGGATTTATTAATAATATAGGAAATTTGTTTATTTATTGAAGAACTTCTCAGTTTTGGCTTGGGGGTTTATGTGTTGACTTATAAAAATGACCATGATATAATCCTCCCTCAGACCCTGGTACTATTTGTAAAAATTCAAGGACTAACGGACCGCAACGACCATAGCCTCCACCATACGGAGTCCAGCACAACTAGATGGTGCCCAGCTACCATCACTGACTGCTTTCACAGAGATCACAAGAGAGGGTCCCGAACAGAGCTGGGGAAAAATGTTGAACAAAAACTCAAACTCACAAAAAGAATAAAAAAAAGAGCAGACTTACTGGTCTGACAGAGACTGCAGAAACTCCGACAGTATGGCCCCCGGACACCCTTTTAACTCAGTACTGAAGTCACTCCTGAGGTCCACCCTTCAGCCAAAGATTAGACAGGCCTGTAAAACAAACAAAAACAACCGTAGTTCAACCAGGTATAGCACACTAAATGAGCACATCAGCCCAGGGGCAAGGATGAGAAGGCAGGAGGGGACAGGAAAGCCAGATATATGAAAATGGGGTCGAGAAGGGGAGAGTGTTGACATGTCACAGGGTTGGCAACCGATGTCACAAAACAATATGTGCATTAATTGTTTAATGAGAAACTAATTTGCTCTAAACTGTCACCTAAAGCACAATTAGAAAAAAAAGATTCAAAATTCAAGATCAATTTTGTGAACAATTACATAATTGCACATTTGGTTCTATAGCACACATTTTAGCAGAATCAAAGGGAGTTTGTTTTCACTATACATAGAAACTATTATCAGGATCCAGAGACTAGCCACCAAAATGAGTGGTTGGTTAGGAGCATTTGTCCTAGGGCTGCCTTAACCTCATAGGTAGGCGAGGAAACCATCGATTTATCGGGACAAAGAAAGGTGGCTACTCTACTTGAATTTCTTGAAATCAGCTCTCCTCATCTCAGCCTAGCATGCAGAATGTAAAGACTCTCACATTTCTATGGGATTGGCTTCCTATTTGTGCATAGATTTCCGAATGGATGACACATCAAGGGTGCTAAATGGTGATGCAATTATGATGACACCTGGTACGATTCCATGATGCACCATAAAATGCTCAGAATGGTTAGTCTTCATTGGAGGTAGGTACAAAGTTCACGGCTTGAAAATACTGACGGGGTTTACTTCACTGGTTCTGTGAGATCCTCCATTAATGAGTCACTTCGTTCTCCAGTGTGATTAATATAGTGTAACTATCATAATGTCCAAGTTAATAATAAGAGGTAACATTTATTGAGTATTTGCCATATGCTAGAAGTGGTGTTACCTGTTTACTTGTTTTTATGTATCTTATCTCATTTGATCTGCCTAACAGCAGATAAGTACCTTTATTTTTACTTTCAGATGAGGAATCTGAGCCTTTCAAACAGTAAATAACTTAGTAAATGGTAGAATTTGTATATGAAAACACAGGTTGGTTTGAATCTAAAGCTCATTCCAAGCATTAAACTACTCTGCCTCCCTGACGCTATGTTATGCATCATATCAATGTAAATTATGTCCCTCCAAATTTCCAACTGAAAAAAAGACCAAGCAATTTCCAATTTAAAGATCCCGCTTTTACTTCTAACAAACATTTTCGATGACAGATAAGCACAGCTTGCATTTACCTCAATAAGAAGAAAGAAGAGAGAAAAATTGGAAGAAGAGGGCTAGAACAAAAACCTATAGGAGCACAAAGGTTCAACAGTGCCTGAACTCCACATGAAATCTCCATCACCATTTTTTGAAAGTTGCCGGCAGGTCTCTGAATCTCTCTGAATCACAATTGCCTCATCCACCAAAAAGCGATGACAATGCAGGACCCTACTGTATTTGGGAATGGGCGCTGTCACCTTTCCAGCCTTATTTTCCACACTCTACCATAAGGCCTTTGAGGGGCCTCTCCAACCTTCCACAAAGTCTTCCATGATACCCCCAGGCAAAATCAAACTGCCTGCTTTTCTCACGGCACTCTGAACCTTTCTTATCCTCTGACATTTCAGAATACTTATCTATGTATCTGGCCCACACCACACTATGAATTCTTGGAGAACAGGGACCTGGTCATATTCATCATCATATCTCCCTCTTCGCTGCCCCTGGAGCCCTGGTGGTGCAGTGGTTAAGAGCTCTGCTGCTAACCAAAAGGTTGGCAGTTTGAATCCACCAGTCACTCCTTGGAAACCCTATGGGGCAGATCTACTCTGTTCTATAGGGTCACTGAGTCTGAATGGACTCAGTGACAAACGATTTGGTTTTTTACTGCTCCAGCCCCTCATAAAAAATAAAGCAAAACTGGTGGCTTACACAAAATATGCCAACAAATGTCAAATAGGAGAGAAGGCATGATTCTTGACTGTTTATTCCATCCTACTAAATGCATAGTATTATTTAGCCTCCTCCCTGTAATTTGCCATTAAAAAATAAGTAGCTTAAAAAAGTTTTCTAGAAATAAGACAGATGCACTGTGACCCACATTCCTAAAAAGTCTGTTTTACTGAAACCATCAAGGAAGAGATAAGTATCTCCAGGAAAGGAAACAGTTAAAACAGAGAACAATGCTTTTTTTCTCTTCCTTAAGTAAAGAAAAATCCGGTTCTGAAGTTGTCATTATATCAAAGTTAGTCAAATTAAGCAGCTCCCTCCTTCTCCTTCATTTTTTCTGCTTGTCATGATTAAATACCCTACTAGGTTCTAAATCGGCCCTAAAAGCTGGTCTTTTTATCTTGGGATTTGAGAGGTACACTGCTCAATAATCTCACACAGTACTCAAATGCCAATATGCTACTTAAGTTATAGACTCATTTCTTTAGGTTAAGCATTGCTCTCTCCAGAGACCCTCTTTTCAAATGTCAGTTTAGTCCTGAATTCCTTTATCACTGTTGTAAGGGTACAGGTTTTAGGGTCAGATGAACTTGAATTCAAATCCATCTGGCTTCTGCCATTACCAGCTGTGTAAAATTCTTTTCTTGACTTTTTAAAGTTGCCATTTCTCCCGTAAAATGAAGACAATGATACCAATTTTGCAAGATTATTGAGTGAGATGATGTAGGTAAAATTTTTAGTGAGGTTCAGCAGTAGTAAGTGGTCAATAAACGCTACTTTATCTTTGACGAGGGCCCTGTGCCACACAAAGAAATGGGAAGGAGGTGGTTTGAACTTCTGGCCACTTCACACTAGTAGGTGGGAAAGGACCGGTGATTGGGATACAGACCCATCAATCATAAAGGAAGCATCTTAATCGGAGGCTCTCCCTCTAGTCATTTCATGCACTTCACTTATCCTTGCTAATGACATCCACGCCATCGTTATTAAGCTCTAGGTCCTTACATCTTAATATGGAACTTTTCCTTATTAATCTCTGTTGTAATATTAAGATCAACCAAAGTGTATATACAGATGGAGTTTGAAACTTTGGGACTTTTGACCGTCAGGTGCTGGCTCTCAAACTCCACTCCCGCTCTCGAACACGGATCGGATACTTTGTATGCGTCCAGCTAAAGGTTTAATTTTCATTTCCTCCCAATGGCTCTCCACGCACGAGGAACGGAAGTGGGGCTCTTGCCGTCGGTGTGTGGTTTTGGGGTAGTAACCTCTTCTGGGCGGCCGCCTGTCCCCGCCCACGGCCGCGGCCGTGACGTCAGGCCCAGCCTCCCTCCCCGCCCGGGCTCGCCCCGAGGCTGCTATAAAGGCGCAGGTGAGGGCCTCGCCTACGGAATGTTCGCACACCTCGGTGTCCGCGCCGCAGTCGGAACTGAGAGATTCCGCGGCGAGTTGAAGGCGCACATCCACTGCCCGGAGCCTGCCAGCACATCTCACACTCCTCGTCTCCTCTCCCTCTTTCTCCTTCTCCTGTTCCTCCTCCTCCCCGTAGCTCCCGTCGGAGTTACCCCAGAGACCGGGACGCCGCCGCTCCAAGGGACCAATGAGAACCTCGCTGCCACTGCCGGCGCCCTTGGTGCTGTCGTTGTTGATCCTTGGCTCAGGTGAGGACATCCTAGCTCTAAACTGCCGGGCGCTTCTCTCAAGGCAGGTAAAAGCTGTCACCTCTTGACTCTTACTCCTGCTTCTCCAAGGAACACCCTTGGGGCTCCCGACTGTGTCCCGCGGAAGGCGATCTCTGCACCTGGGCGCCTAAGGTTACTCCATAGGAGGAAGGGAGATACCTTAGACTTTCCAGGCCAGGACAAGGGCGCCTGAGAGAATCCCTTTTACTTTAGTCCCGCTGAGGGAGCCCTTAGAGGTCCTGTGATCCAACTCCTTCGTTTTACAGATAAAAGAAAGGTGAAGTGATTCTCGCAGCTCTCGCTGTTTGAGTGGAGGAGTGAGGTGCTAGTCCCAGAGTGCTACCTCCTTCCTAAATTCTCCATTTCCTCTGTCAGTGATTTTAGTTTTACCTTGCATAGAAGGCTTTACAGTGTCCCACAGAGAGGTTAGAAGCAGCCCCCTGAGGTGGTTTTACTGAGAGCTAAAAGATAAAGCAGGGGCTTTAGCCGGGCCCCAAATCTTATCTAATAGTCAGTTTCTTCTCTGTGTAATAACAACAGTAATGAAACAGTAATAACTATTTTTTATCAGCTAGCATTTGTATTACTTTTACATTTAATATACATAATCTTTTTAAAATATGAGGACATGTTAAGAAATTTAGTATTTATCTCCAGTACCTGTCTTCTAAAATGGGACAGAGTAACATTCTAGCAAAGACAAATGCATTTGGGAAGTGAAGAGACAGAAATATTTAGCCATTGTCTGCTAAGCAACTACATTAGATGAATTTGTTATTTGGCAGGTTTTTTTTTTTTTTTTTTTGACGTAGAAATTAATGTAGACTATCTGTGGAAAAGAAAACCTTGATAAAAGATACTCTGTAACTGAAACAGCTGAGTTTTCTTGTTGGCAACCTGTGAAGCTGCTTTCACAAGTGACTCAGTCACAAACAATAGCACATGTGCAATAACTGCTTTGATATCAGAAGATAAACATTTCTCCTAAACACATTTGATTGGTGAGAAAGGCGCCCTGCTTTACTTTTTCTTTTTCTCCCTCATTCCTTCTCCCAGGGTATTATGCTGCTGCATCGGAACTCAAAGATACCTTCTCTGGGAAAGGGGAACGGTCTTCCGGGGACCAGAGTGCCAATGGGCTTGAGGTGATGGTGACTTCAAGAAGTGAGACGTCCTCAGGAAGCGAGGTTTCCTCAGTGAGTGAAATGCCTTCTGGTGGCAAACAGTCCTCAGAAACCGACTATGACTATTCAGAGGAGTATGATAACGAACCACAAGTGTCCGGCTATGTAGTAGATGATTCAGTCAGAGGTGAGTAAAGGATAAGTGAAAATATAACCTTTGAGATGTGGGTTTGTATGAGCAAAACTGCATCAAAAGAAAAGCCACTTCCTGAATTTTACTAGTGGCTTTCTTCTGTATATATCTATTACAGCCCCACTGGGTAAACTACAGACTGAGTTGGAAGGAGCTATATGTGGATACACCTGTATGTCTGGAGTTCTACTAAATGTTTTATGTCTGTTAAGTCTAATCTTCACAACAACTTAATGGAGTAAGAATTGTTGCCCTCATTTGACACATAAGAACACTGTACAAAGAAGATTGTGTTTTGCCAAAGGTCCCATAGCTAGCAAGCAATTGAGCTGGAATTAGAACTCCAGTCAGTTTGATTCCAGATACCATGCCCTTTCCCACATGACCCCGCTGCTGAGCCATATAGGTACTCCTATCTACTTTAGCTTTTGTATCTACTCCCCCTGCCACCAAATAACTGCATTGTGACACAGATAAGGAAACAGAATAAAGTAATGGGGCAGGAGAGATTGGACTTTAGCCATTAAGCAGTAGGTATTGAGAAACTGGTGATGATGATGATGATGATAATAAAATAAACCTTCTGGACAGATTAGGAAAGAACATATATGCATGGATTTTACATTGCTAAAATCACAATGTAACCCCAAATAACATTTGTTAGTTACATAATAGTGGTCTGTGTTGTTTCCCCCTTTTGCTGTTAACAGATTTTTAAAGATCATTTGCTTAAAATGGGGGTATTAAAGTAAGAGATAAATATTATCCATTACCCTCGTATTACTTTGGCGTTTGAGGGCACAAAAGGTCATCAATCAATCAGATCTAAATATCCTAGGAACACCCACTATGGAAGCAAGGAATGATAGCTTATGTGCTCTTTGTGGCTTCTTCTTTCCTGACACTGGCCTGCTTGACTCCTCTCCCTGTATCTGAATTCCAGCCCTGGGGAAGGGAGAGCAGGTGGTACCACAGGGGCAGTGACTGGGCTAAGTGTCAGGTGGGAAAAGCTTTGATGAACCCTCCACCTCACTCCCTTCCTCCGTGTGATCTTGTGCATGTGAAGTGGGGAAGAGTCCCACTGATACTCCTTATTTTTCAGAGGGGTGATAATTGAGCGCCAAGATATCTGGAAACTGTCCCCTTAAAAATACTTCAAGTTGGTAACAAACAGGCCAAATAAATGTTAGTAGTGAAAACGACTGCTGCTCTAAACTGCAATGCCTTATGAAATGGAGTGAAAATGTTGGCTGCACTCCTTTGAAAAGCTGTTAATGTCCGTGGAGTTAATGTCTATTGCAACACTTTAGCCTTATTTATCTCTGTCTGTAATTTCTAATCTATCTGATAAAGTGCAATATTGTTCATCTAAAATGCTTCTATTAGAGGACTTATTCTAACTTGTGGGGCTCTTTTATTATTAGAAGAATGTTTCAGTACAAAAATCACATAGCCACCCAGTAAACTTTGCTCCTAATTTTACCTTTGTTAATGCTGTTATAATATGCTAAAAGATTCATATTTATTTGTCATTTCCTTAATCAGATGGGTTCTATCTTTGATTTCCTTGTTAATCTTCACTGTGTTTCTAATGCTTTCTATTTAATGAGTACTGGATGACTATTATGACTGATAGTATTTTTTCTCTTCCTTGAGCTCTGTTTACTAAATATTTGCTCAAATAAGCCTATTCAGTGATTAGTGTAACAAAATGTACATCTCTCACATGGAAACTCCTTCCCTATCTGTATGTGGGTAAACTACATCTTATGTAACTATAAGACTGGACAAAGGTTTCTGTGGATCTGATGAGTTAAGATGAGTTTCTGAAACATCAAGTACAAATATTTCTGGACTCCTGTTTTCAAATAGATGGACTATAGAAAGGAACCCCCTGGAAGATACCAGTTAATTATAATCTGTTGTAATCTGGGAGTTGGAGAATGTTACCTAACTCTAATGCATAATTCTTGGTTCCTCAGATCCCTTCAAGTAACCAGTACCAGCCATTAGGCCAATTCCAACTCATGGCAACTTTATGTGTATCAGAGTAGAACTGTGCTCCATAGGTTTTTCAAAGGCTGATTTTCAGAAGTAGATCATGAAATCTTTCTTCTGAGGTGCCTCTGGGTGGGCTTGAACCACCAACCTTTCAGTTTGGAGCCCAGTGTGTTAATTGTTTGAACCACCAAGGGCCCCCCTCCCAGTAGCACCCAACTATGGTAGTGAGGACAAGGCTTACGTGCTAAATAAAATCAACAAATATGCCCCCAGTCCCATTTCAATCAATGGCATTGATCTTTTCTTTGAGAAAGCCTAGCATGGTGGAAAATTAACAGGCTTTGATATCCCAGCACTACCATTTTCTAGCTAGTTGTCCTAGCGCAAATTCACTCAACTTGTTTCCCCATCTATGTCATGTGGATAATAATACATAAACTTTGATTTGAATTTAATTATATTAATGCTCATTGCCAAGAACATGATATGTATTATAATTCTAGAAATGTTTAAAATATTTCAAGGATTTTCTTAGACACGTAACTCCTGTTATTAATAACAATAATAACAAGAGCAATAATAGTTATAATAATACAGATCAATTCAAAAACATACTTCTAGGCTAGTAAAATATCAAAAGGGTTCACACTTTTAAATGCCACACAATATTGTTGTTCTCTTTGACCATTGATTGTGTATGTATTGTGTTAAATAATGAGACAAACTATGGCTGTTATTCTCATGAGCTCTCACTGTGTCTGACTTCTTTTTCTCCTGTTTCCAAAATGATATTCAAAATTAAGACTGTTACCAATAAATCTTATTTTGTCTTTTTAGTTGAACAGGTAGTTAAACCTACCCAAAACAAAACAGAAAGTGGAAAGACTTCAAACAAACCTAAAAGAAAGAAAAAGGGTGGCAAAAATGGAAAAAACAGAAGGAACGAAAAGACTAAAACTCCATGTGATGCAGAATTCCAAAATTTCTGCATTCATGGAGAATGCAAATACATAGAGCACCTGACAGTAGTAACGTGCAAGTAAGTTTCCCTAAATTATACAAAATTTTAAATTTCTAACTCCATGCCTGAAATTCCTAGCTCCAGAAAACTATTTTTCCAGTGTTTAAAACAAGAGTCAGCAAACTTTTTTTATAGGACCAGATAGTAGATATTTTATGCTTCATGGGCCAAGATTATTTACCTACCTTTATAACCAACTGAAATGTAACCATTTAAAATGAAAAACAAAAAAACATTCTTAGCTTATAGGCTATTAAAAACAAAAACAAAACAAAAACTGGCAAATGGCTGGATTTGACCTGTGGCCTGTTGTTTGCTTACCCCTGGTGAGGTAAACTACGCATGAACCTTTCTTTTTTTAAAGGGCAAAAAAACTATATATGAAACTCTTTTATAAAGTCACCTAAAGATACTTTCCACATAATCTTTCATGTTGTGCTAACATCCAACCCCTCTAAAAGCTACTAGCACATTAAATGATAGTGGAATTTATTAACTGCATAACAAGTCACTGAACTCATCAGGTGGGCATAAAAAAGAGCACAATGAGTGAAAAGGTGTGTCTTCCTGGAATATCACACCTAAACTAATCTAAGCTTATTCTTACACTAATAGATCTTTGGCTAGAATGCATTTGATATCTCATGATTTTGTAATACAGAAATAGGGCATGACTTTTTTTTTTTAATGTTGGAATCACATGGCTGTTTATAACTTGGAAAGTAAGCCTAAAATAAATGGAATGTTTATAGTGATTACAATTTTTAAATGTGGGTTGTTTGCAGATGTGATCAGGATTACTTTGGTGAACGATGTGGGGAAAAGTCTATGAAGACTCAAAGAATGGTTGACAGTGATTTGTCAAAAATCGCTTTAGCGGCCATATTTGCCTTTGTCTCTGCCGTGAGCCTCACAGCTGTTGTTGTTCTTATTACAAACCAGTAAGTATGGAAATATTTTAAAATTCCTTATAAGATATCGCCAGGTTAATTTTTTTCAGTATTTCAATCACATTCTCCTATCATGTTTTAGATGAATTATTTCATTGGTGGCACATGGTCTTTGGTTTATGTCCTTACACTGCATTGACAAAGATCACAAAATATGGTCAAAATTTATAATAATATTTTGACTAACATTGGAACTTAATAAGTAAAGTCCTTTTTTCAGAAGATCTAGAAATGTTTTTAAGTGAATGTTTTTCTTCATTTCACATTTCTACTCATGGCTACTTCTGAAACTCAGAAAGTGCTGGCAACTTCTGGAATATCTTAAGCTTAAGCAAGCCTCCTATTGACAGAGGCTAATTAAGACCTGGTTCATGATAGATTGTCAGAGATAACTGCTTTGGTACTAAACATCACAAAGAGCTTCAAACTAACAGCCAGGAGAAGTCCTGCCTCCTGTTTGTATTAGAATGCAAAACCCTGAATTAGGAATTTCATAGCATGGTACTGATTTGCTTAGAGCTTATACCTATTGTGTTATTGTCAAATACAGTAATATGGGAACTCAATTATTAAAAAAACATTTCCTTCACATGGCATGGTGTAGGAAGCAGGAACAATTCTATTACTGTTCCACTCCAGCAATGTCTCCCTTGTGCTCACAGTGACAGATCACGTTCTTCACTTCATGACCAGTGAATGTTGGAAGCAGACTCTTCCAGGTAGTAGACACTGATGGGTAGCTCAAAATGGCATTGTCTGTCAAACAGAAGTCACTGAATAAGGGAAGCTGGGGAGGGTGTGAATGGCTCTATGATGACTCATGTGCTACTAGAGCTTGGGAAAAGCAATGGACTCATTATTCTAATTTTAGGTCTTGGTAAATTACTTTAACAACTGGATTGTGTACATGATCTACCACTCCTACCATTGTTCAGGAAATGGGGTTATCTTCTGCCATTGTTACTATTAATTCATGTACAGATCATACAATGATAAAATGACACATATAAAAAAACTGTTTCATCATGCACATAAAGTTTGTTATTTGGTATACATTTGTTTTGTACACTGTAGAACTTATTCTGGTCCTTCAGTTCCTCAAGCCATATAAGCAAATGTGTTTAGGAAAGATACTCTCCAACAAACCATAGTTATTTGATACAGAAAGGTGGAAGAAAAATATTATCAGTTAAGGAAAATGTTTTGCAATAATTATTATTTAAAGTTGTAATTATTCAAGTTGAAATGTTTAATACTACTTTGGAAAAGCATGGAAAGACTTTGTTACAGTGGCATTCTTAAAATCGTATTCTCTTTATATTTGAAATACATTACAAACGCTAAGCTGATTGCTGTTTTTTCATAACTGAGGTGAGTTTTTCCCCCAAACATCACAACAAAGGAAAAAGTGTCTATGATTTAAATGCTAGTATTTAGCAGATGGATTAAATAAAGACTAACTACAATTAGAATTGCTTATACAATACCAAGAAACTTATAAACCACTGTGTTTTTCATAGAAAGTGACAATAAGTAAAACTAGAAGGAAATACTATATTTAGAAATAAATAAAACCAAACTTGTTTTGTAAGACTGTTTAAAAGTAAAATCTAATCATCTAAATTAGTTGGTGCAAGCATGAACTCTTCCTATGATAAAACTACATCATCTGCTTTGTCTTCAAACTATACCTGATAACTGTGCTACTTTCTACAGAAAAAACAAATCCATGTGTTCCATGCCTTTCGAAAGTTTGTATCTCAAGACATATGTATTTAAATCTTATTCCTCTGGAAATATTAAAGTCAACATAAACATCTTAAAATATGGTAATGTTTTATAACTAGGTAATGCCTTTTTCTTTAAAGGCTTCGAAAACGATACTTCAGTGAATATGAAGGAGAATCAGAAGAAACAAAGAAACTTCGACAAGAAAATAATGCACATACCATTGTATAACTGAAGATAACATTACAGGTTAGACTTTTAAAAAGATATCCTTAGATCATGTCTGTAATTTTGGACAATATAACACCTGTTATCAAGAAAAATGAGGAAAGCAGGTGTTCTTAATTATGAATACACTGTGGAATAGTGGTTATGTTAAAGTGCTCCTCTTTGAGCATGAGACAGAGTTCATTACTAAGAATGGTTATATGCTCAGTCAGGAATATAAGGGATTTAGAGATAAAGAAGAAACATCCTGTATTCAAAGAACTAAGTGTCTAGTAGATGGAAAAATAAGATATAAGGGGCCAGAATACTAGGGGAAGTAAAGTAAGTGTCGTAAGAATGAAACAAATGGATTATGAAGAGTTTCTAACAGAAGAGAGAAAGAATCCAGTAAGTTGTATTTAGTGAGCAGGAAAGGATGTGTAAACAGGGTGGCACTTGAAGTGAGCCTTAAAGGACTGATGAGATTAGAACTTGCAATTATGATGAAAGATAAAAGTTAATACTGTTAGAGAGAATTGATCATTTTAAGAAATGGTGCAAGTGGCCTAGATGGAATGGGTGTTAGGGGAGATAAGATTGTAATGAGAGGTTGAGCGCACATGGTGGAGAGCCGAGGGCAGGGGAATAGCACATAAATGTGGGGAAGTGGAGACAACAGATTGATAGCCTTTTAAAGAGAAGAAGCAGAAAGAGATGGGGGTACAAATTTTAAAGATAGCATGGTAAGAATATATTTGATATTTATTTATTTGCTAAAGAGGGGAGGCTAAGGATGTTGTAGCTACAAGGCAAGAAGGTAAGGAAAGGGGTATTTCACTGACTGCAAAAGTGAACACCTAATGAAGAAAACTCCCAGAGGAATAGGGAGGCCAGGAGATCAAGGACACACTTCAAGTCGGTCAGAAGAAGGAACTCTAATTCCCAGACAGGCAGGAAAGAAGATCCTACATCCTTAAGTCATTGGTTTTCTAAAGTTACAGGGTGTAAGAAATACAATACGCGCGATGCTTGTTAAATACACATATTCCTATGCCCAACGCTAAATCAACGGAATCACGATTTTTATTTTTAATGAGAACTCCAGCTTTTTCTGATGTATGTGGCCTTGCAGCAATATTTGGAGAACCACTACCTTCAGTATTGGTTAAGTGCAGATCTTATGTTCTGAGCCTACTATAGAACTAGCTTGGTAATTTTTAAATGGATAATTATCCATGCTAATGCTATACTTTGTATTTATTGCATCAAAATTTATTAATTTATTGGCTTAATATGCTGAAGACCACTGGAATGATAAGGGTGAATTTTTGGTGACTTAGTGTAATTGAGACTTTTCAAAGCATGTCCCAGAATGATTTTAGGAAAAGGAATATGAGGTGCTGGCATATAAAGGCTGCCTATTAACTAGTAGCTACTATTATTATGCCCTTGGTACTAGTTATCCTAAATTAACTGTACATTATAAATACTCTGAGACACTTAATCTTTGTTTTTAATTATGTCCACTGCATAGATTTAGTTAGGAAAACTATCTCTCATGACTATTGTTGCTTTTTTATTAAGCAGAATTTGATAAACAGGTTTGAGCATATATAGTCTTCTACCTAAGTAGGCATATAACCAAAGCAGGTATGAAAGAGGAATTCAAATCAAAGTGATAGTTTGTCCCTGAAGAGCTCTTAGCATTTTAAGACCTCATAGAAAAAAAAAAAATGGCAGAAATTCTGAGTCCTGATTATTATTTGAAATTTTCTTAAAGCTAGGTTGGAATTAAGCCTGTTGCTAACACTTTATTTTATTTCCTAACAGGAGGTCATATCAGAGTCCCTGCCATGTCACAACCATGAATAGAGCTGGTTCCTCTTTTCAGTGGATCATGAGAAAATGGAACCTTTTTGTTCCGATGGTTTTAAACTTTCAATTGTCACTTTCTGTGCTAAGTCTTATTTCTGTACATAAAGATTCATGGAGATAAAAAGTATTTTTTCAAGTTGTAAATAATTTATTTAATATTTAATGGAAGTGTATTTATTTTACGGCTCATTAAACTTTTTTAATCAAGCACAGTTTGAGAGTTTGAATATTAGTTTTGGGATTGCAAAACTCTAAGTTATGTCTCCTAAAACTTGGTACATTATGTAAAAATGATTTCTTCCTCTTTTTTTTTTTCCACTGCTTTCACATTGATTTTTAAAATTGATTCCTTTTCTTATAAAGTACTGTTGATGGGAAAATTATAGAGTCACTTAAAAAAACAGTTGTGGTGGAGTCAAATCCGACTCATGGTGATCCCATGTGTGTTTGAATAGATCTGTGCTCCGTAGGGTTTTCAATGGCTGATTTTTCAGAAGTAGATTGCCAAACCTTTCTTCTGAGGCACCTCTGAGTACACTCAAACCTCCATCCTTTCAGCTTGCAGCTCAGGGCATTAACCATTTGCACCACCCAGGGACTCCAGAGTCACTTAGTCCTTCCACAAAAACTAATATCCCAAACCAATTGCTCCTATTTCATGTAGAACCTATACAAAAAAACCCAAAACCAAACCTATTGCTATTGAGTTGATTCCAGCTGCCCCGTAGGGTTTCCAAGCTGTGGTCCTTATAGAAGCTGACTGCCACATCTTTCTCCCATGGAGCAGCTGGTGGGTTTGAAACGCTGACCTTTTGGTTAGCAGCTGAGTGCTTAACAACTGCACCACCAGGGTTCTTAGAACCTATACCAAGTCCTATTAATTATGAAGGCATCTAAAAGCAAAGTGTGGTAACGGCCTCTCTGTACCAGTAGACTTAGAAAAGAAAACAAACCTACTACCCATCCCCATAATCACCATAGACAAGAAGACAAAAATAGGTTTGAATATTTAAAATCAGCGGTTCAAGAGAACAAAGAAGCATTCAGGTTTAAAACTTTTTTCCCTAATATGTCATGAATGTATGTGGCACCTAAAACCCACTCCTCCCTTCCCTCTGCTTGATACTTTTTTCTTACAGTATTTTAACAAATGTGTGTGTATTCAAGAACACTAATGTTATGGGGTGACTCAGTCTGGTTCCAGGCTAATGTACCAAGATACCTGTATACAAAAAAGTAAATAAAACAACCTTAGTAATGTGTGGGGTTATTTTGAGAAAATGAACCAATAATAAGCATAATGTCACTAATAACCTCATAGAATTTCAGATTGAAAGGTGCCTTAAGGATGAACACTACCATCTTTTTCTGGCATACTGTTCACCAAGTTCTTGTCTAGTGATTATCTAACTCCATGATTCCCAATTCCAGCTGCATATTATCATCACTTGAGGAGTTTTTAAATATCTAGGTGCCGAAGCCCTACTCCTAGAGTTTCTAATTTAAATGGACTAGTGTGGTTCCTTGGCATATGCATTTTTAAAAGATCCCTAGATGCAGCCAGCACTGAGAAACCCTAATTCACCTCCTCTTGAACATCTTGACACATTTTCCTCAATCTTGTACACTAAATATTTATTGTGGCTAATTCAAGTATCCCATGCCATCAAGTTGATTCTGATTCATAGGGACCCTACAGGACAGAGTAGAACTGCCCCATAGGGTTCCAAGGC